GACAAAAAAGAAAATGATCAAATTGATAGCAAAGTTCATCAAATATTAACTAGTGACAGTAACGTTAACTTGCCAATATTTCAAGAAGTGGAATCCAAAAATTCAGATACTGGATTACAAGATATAGAAGATGAAAATATCGAATCGATTGATGGAGAAACAAATAACAAGGTATTGCACGGTCAATCTCTCCATTCATTTATCGATTAATACTCCTGAATCCTTTGCTAATAGAGTACTGACTACTTTATAATAACTTCTTTCTATAACTTAGGTGGTTAATATAGCCGCTTCCCTAGAAAAACGTGGTCTTCAATCAGGAAAAAGACCACCTGGTGGTGTATCAATATTTAAATCTAATACTAGTGAGGTTACCAAAGTTAAAAACGAAACAGAAGCTGCCAAGGTAGAAATTGATCAATATTTAGCATTCGGTACTATAACAGGTTATACAGTAAGTAATTAACAATGATTTCATAATATACTTCTCTCCAGGATACTGTAGCAGCTTTTATATCAGAAGAAGATTTTTCCGATATATCGTCGCTAGATTCGGATAATAATAAATCTACCGATGCAAGCTTAAGGTAAATTTTAATTTTAACTATCCACTTTCTGCTATAGCATTTTACATAAACGATCATTTGCGTTCATTTTCATCGCCTAATGACATTAAAATATGATGTAGGCGTTCACAAAATGTCATGGCTGATACTCGTGCATCTGGCGGTAAGAAAATTTTAAAGTTTTGTCTATCTTGACTTGTAATACAAGTACATATTGCATTAAAGCAGTATTGCTCAGATTAAGTTGTACATTATTAGCCATACCTAGTATAGTGTTCTACAGACTGTAACGTAAGGTAGAATAAAGCTATGTTGATCGCAATTACAGATACTGGAAACAGTTTATAAGCAGGCAACTTTAGAAAAATTAGTAGTTCCATCTAAGTTCTTTCTAGTAATGGTATTCAGCTAAGCATAGAGCTATGAATAATTGCATCTTTACATTAAGGAGTTACATATCATTAGTAAATTGCTAAAAGTTTTTGGAAAAATGGATCTATTTTACCATAATCAGCCTCGACTTAATTTTAAGAAATTAATTTCTCATTTTAAAAGCTACGCTGATCATAATTACAGATACTGGAGAAAGTCTATAAGCAGAAAAGTTTTAGAAAAATCAGTAGTTCCATCTAAGTTCTTTCTAGTAATTATATTCAACTAAGTATAGAGCTATGAATAATTGCACCTTTTTTACCCATATTAGGTGGATCACGACTATCAACACAAAGTACATTTAATGTCAGTAACTTAGAAGACATCGAAGATGAACTGGAAGATTTAGACGACTGGAGGCCTCCTGTTAAACGAAGTTAATCAGAATATTTTAGCTCCAACTAATTTACAATTATCTGAATTTACCGTTTCTAATGTTGCAAATTACAATCAGCCTTTGAGAATCATTTCAGAATTGTATTATACAAAACTGTAAAGTCGTTTCTGATAATCAAGATCTCCATCGCTTAGAAAGACTGATGGATACTTCGATCGAAAATGTAAATGTCATTACTGTTTCTTGATATAAGTATGAGTATTAATGCAATTTAATAATATATCTCAGGAACAAAAAAAATTGTTATTACGAGGATATTATAATTTTCTTTCCAATATACACGATGTAAACTATCATTGCAGGTTAAATATTTCTAATTTTAGCATCGAAGTTAGATTAATTAATTGATACATTATTCCGATACTGGCCAACTTCAGTTATTAACCAAATGTACAGCATGTCGTCTTTTTAACTGTTTTTTTATTAACCACGCTTTATTTATGATAAGCATATTCTATTTTATACTGTAATAAAAAGGAATACTAAAAAAATATGAAATACTTCTAAATACCAATATCGGCCTAATCACATTAAAGTATCATTGTTACGATGTTAAGCTAATAAAAAGACATGCAAACTATAACGGTCGGTCAAACAAATATTTTAATTCCTTGTTACTCTATGAAGACTAGATATTACGAATATATAACTTATCCTAGTTGTTGCATCCTCAAGAACATCAACATTAAATCTCGAACATTTTTATATTTCCATTATGCTCTTTTATATCACCAACGCATAGATACCAAGATATATGATATTGTTTGTGAAAACTGTGTATCCAATTAAAAGACCAAGATTTTACGTTACCACAGTATTTAGTGCAGCTGCTACTATAATCATCAGTGCTTACCATCTCTCTATCTTTTATAATGTTACACAGTACATCTTAACCGTTACATACTGTTCAATTAACATCCGGGAGTTGATGACGATATGAAAACCATCAAACAGATATTGTAAAAATCGATTCAAATTGAGTTTATAATTAATTGTACTAAAATCATTTATTGGATGCTCAATATACGCGTACGTACAACGAAAACCATTACAACAATGCGGAAGTGTAATAAAAAATAAACAATGTTAATGTATTCCTTTAATCGTTTCGCCAAAGCCATCTTAATACGAGTATTTAACATGATGATAAACGACTACATAACGAAATATTTCATTTCAGGTCGTTAATGTAATGTCTATATAATTTTCGTACTAGCTAACAATGATGATATGATATTAAAGTTATTTCTCGTTAGCTTAACAAATCGGCATGCTCATATATTGACAACGGTGCTTGATTTGTTACCAAATATAATACATACAATTGCATCACATCGAAAACCAATGCATAATTATCAATTAGCAAACGATTATATAAATAGAAATGCATTGATATTCATTCAGATGGCATTTTTCACGTATGTTAATAAACGTACTGCAGATAAAACAAATCGCAATAAGGATTTCAAACAAGATAAATTACATCAATATCAACGTTATACTATCGTTGACTTAATACATAGTTTGCTTCTTTTCAATAATTGTAAAAAATTACTTTACGTACAAGTATAATGTGCGCAAATGATCAACCTTCATAATCATTCACTTGATCTAAAGCTTGAACGCAAAACTTTAACGAAATTCTAAGAGTAATCCAACGATACCATATAAACAGATTGGACTTCAAAAAGTGAATGTAATACTCGTAGATTAAAAAAAAATGGTAACTAGTTATTACGACAATAAATAGCAATTAATTGCTATTACATAATTTTATAATAATGATTTTTCTAGTAATATTAGGCAATGGGCTCAAAGAAAGAATTTGCTAATATCGTTAGTGCAATACGAGCATTAGGTGCAGATATTGATCACGAAATGTCATCCGAGGCAATTTATGAGACAAATAAATCGGTTCAAAGCTACGCCCTCGTAGTCAATCAACCTCACGGAAAATTAAGTTTTAATTTTATCGATCCTATCGATAGCTAAATCGTGGACTATCCTTTCACATAATCAATGAATACTGCACCTAATTAGACATTTCTATAATATACACGTTGACCCTATTATCAATAGTAATCAGGTGATCAATCTATCCAATATAAAAGCAATACAGTGTATAAACTGTAATAAGCTGATATCTGCTTGTTTGGAATAATTGTAGTTTTTACACAGCATTATTCGTATTCACGGCTTTAAGATATTATTATTAACAGTAGGCTACAACTAGTTGTAGGAATAAACAAAACATTTTGTGATCTTGTCAGCAACAGGAATGGCAATATTAAAAGTGAAGCTTTTCCATTACTCATACGCTAAAAGATCAAGATATACCGAAAACATGCCAATGATAGTCAATAATAACGACACCATTTACGTTGATATGCATATATTATACAAAAAATTTGACGCATTGTTGATACAAGAAGAAACAGAACAATGCCTCTCAACTTCTTTTCATTAAAAGGGCAATGCAGCATATCTTTAACTGAAATAATATACAGTAATATACAAACGATTAAAGGGTAAATTTCATTATGCTCTGTTACCAGAGTATTAATAATATTAATAATGCTATAAACAATGAAAATATTTTGTATATTAGATACAGAAGGACTACACAATTCTAAAATCTAATACTGTGTGCTTTGCGGATAACAAGTAATAAAAAATACCATCTAGCAATCCATTTTGTTTTGCATACCATCCATCAAAAAAAAACCAACCTTATGCTTTTCTCGTATATTATAATTCTACCATTGTCATAATCAAGTGAAACATAGTATTAAACCACTTTGATGGTCTCCGATATGATTATGATGTCACAAGTGTGGAAATATAACATCATGATGATAAATTTTATACGGGCATTAACAATGCACTTTTCTATGCTGATTATAAATTAAACCATTTAGAAAGAGGTGAATGATAAATTGACTCAGTGAATCGATATAGCATCAATGATAGCATAGAATTTCAATTATAACTTACCATAATTTTTCCAAATCTAACATTTAACATGAACGTCTTTCAATATTCATGGTGATAAACATAAGTAGTGTCAGCAAAATAATCATGGCTTTATAATATGCCAACAAACTATGTGAAACGTTTGCAATTTTAATCACTTTTTAGCGGAAAAATTAGGTGTGCTACTTCTAGAAGTTGATGAATATGGCGACGATGATCGTGAATTTGACGAAGAAGAGCACTGATAAGTTTCAATTTCTGCATTGCCTTTGATAGCCAGTGATGCACTGCGTCGTTTATCTGGTGTAACAGCTGCTACAGTATCATTATGATAATCAATAGGAACAGCAAGTGGAGAGCTAGGAGGAGTTACTTTTGAGGTTGAAGGTAGTACATCGCTAAAATCAAAAATGGTGTCTATTAAATTAACAATTTTATTTCTAAAAGATAATGCTAGTCTTGAGAAAAAAAAAGTCATTCATTTCGATGCAAGATAATTTATCATTAAGTGTGTACTGTACCTTGAAGTTGCAGCATGAACATCATATTTATTCGCTTTACCAGTACAAAAGATATCTAAATATATAAAATGAGAATAGTATCACAATCTAAAGCAGTCAAACGAATTGTATTCATAAGGAAATGTTATCAACACTGGTAAAATTATTGAACGTACCTGGAACGTTATCCCCTACAGATTTCGGTACAATAGTTTTAATTTCCTCCAACTCCTTCACATTTAAATTACCAGTGGTATCCAGCACATCACTTGATACAATACCCATCCGTTTTAGAATTTCAATGTCGTTATGTATCTCAAAGGTGTTATCAAAATTGAATAAATACTCAAATCTAAAATTAACAAATTGAATTATTACATTAAGTATGTTTTTATAACATAGATTAACAACAGCTATTATCAAGAAGCAAATATATAAACGAATGAGTACTCACTTGTCATTGGAAATACTACAATCAATCACGGTTTGCTTGCTCGTATTAATAACAACAAACGGTAACTGAATGCAAGAGTTTTCTTTTAACGCATTTTCATTCTCTCTTTCGCGATTCCTTTTCACTAAATTTTTATATGCATATTGCTGTAATTAAAAAAAATATAATACACGTTAATTAAAACTACTTTCAACTATCATATAAATAAACATATTATAACAATAAGTATTACCTGAATGATAAGTTCACGTAAACGCTCCTTCTTTTCCTGAACTCTATCTCTTAAAGTCCCTAGTTCTTTCTATATTTTAATATAACAATTAAATTGATTGAATATCAACCAAATCAACTAAATCTGAAAAGGAATAGACAAGTCATACTTCTAATGTGTCACATTCTTGAGCAGAATTAGTGGGTAGTCCAATCCATTTTATCTCTTTCTTTTCTTTCGAAATTATATTCATCGCCATTAAAACGTTTAAAGCATCATAAACTCGACGCCTAATATTCTTTTGATCGTAAGTCTACGTAACGGGAGTAAAAATAAACTGTTATTAGCCTTATAATCATTTCATTGGCATTTTCATAGTGATAAAGTATCAAGAACAGTAATTACCTGATCATTCGAAGGCATTCCTCGATCAGGATCGCCGCTAAATTCTCGCACCAGCTCATCCGCGACCTAAAATAATCATTAAATCATTTAATTTTTACAAGATATAGATTAACTTTATCGAAATTGACAAATAACCACCTCATTATATGTAGTAGTGCCTTTTTGCTGTACTTTTTCGCAAACTTTCATTGAAAAATGACGCAATCCTTTACCGCCTTTTTCATTTCCAGAACGTGCCGTTGATACTGTTCTTTTACTCGATGATCGTTTTCTGTTATTATAAAATATATTTCACTTACTAATTAATACCATCTACTGTACTTATATCGATATGTTAAAATAGAAAGAGAGTGAATTTTGATCGATTAACAACATGTAGGAATTGTGCTCGATACTAACTTGTCGCTGTTATCTCCTACGACATCATACTCGTAAGAATTTTTCCTTTTGATTCCACTACCATCGAGTAAAAGAATCAGATAAGAAAAATTTTTAAGATTTCGAAAAGTGGATAAATTTACTCGATTCCCATTATTACAAAGTAGCCAGCTATTATAGTAATTATATAAATGCTGGCCTATATTATACTTCTTACCTTGTTCCTGGTGTATTAGTACTTTTGGGAGTCTGAGGAGTACCAGGGCTTGTCGACATATAGCTAACGGGGGACATTTGCCGTTGAATGGAGGTTCCAGGAAGAATCTTAAATCATAAGAATAAAGTAGTTACATGATCAATCTTGTTACTACATCGCTACAATATAGCCGAAATGTTGATCTCAATATACAGGATCCATATGAAAAAAATGAATTAATATTAATAAGACTAGAAAGTCTTATTTGGAGTTTATTATAACAGATGATTATTTGTTCATTGTTGCTAAGTTCACATCATTGGTATTTAAAAAGAAAGTTTGCTACAGTACTGATCCAAAAAATTAGCTAATCTATTACAACTTACTAGTGAAGGCGATCGTGTTACATCGACACGAGTAGGTGTATTAGCCCTGATAACCTTGTAAGATGATGCTGTCATCTGGGATTTTTTATCGTCATAAAGTGGGGACGCAGCTGTAATTTCAAATTGATATCAGTCAACTCAAGTTAACAGTGCATGTCTACCACATGCAATAAAATGAGATCAATCGCATCATCATATTTTTAAATGCAATATTTTGATACGCAAAATAAAGATATAAAACTAACATTGCAAGAAATATTTGATAGTTGGTTCATTCAAAAAGCTATTACAGTACAGTAATAATGTTCCAATAAAAATGCTAAGGAAATTGATAAAACTTGTCAAGATAGGATACCTTTATGTGCCAATTGTCGATTATCAAAGTTAAATGAGGACATATCCCCATTACTATCCAATAATCCAACCTAAAATTAAGTATGTCAATTTAATAGTCAATCTTAAAAAAACTAGGATTGTATCCATTGCCAACGCTATAGTTGACTCAAGACAGTAATAATGTGTGTTAAGATACACACAATCTATTAGTATCATGTTCAATTACACTAATTAGTACCTTTCGTGCGTGATTCTCTAATCCATTATCAACATAAAATTTCTTGAGGCCGTGAGTATTATAATTATCATTGCTAGTCGAAGTTATAGCAGTATTATTGATAGTAGCACTGCCGCTTGCGGTATGATTTGATTTACTCGATGGGCTTTCTTTGGATGGACTACTAGAAGCTAATAATGGAATCAATATCATTATTATTTGATAGCACTATCGAGTTTACTGATACTTTTCTAGTGTCAATGGATTGGCACTTGTTATGTAGTTGATATTATCATAAACACATCCATAAAATATTTACGGAAAATTTTTACCGCTACTTTCTAACCTAGTCAATATTATGCTCATTCCATTGCACTCAACTAGTTATGGATATTATTTTAGTTTGAGACAATAATATATGAACTGATGAAGGCATTATTCCATGATATCAAATGAACTACTTTATTACGTCACTAAAAATAGCGAAAAGAGCAACACCGATACTGGCTGTGCGCTGTGCACCGGAATAATGATCGAAAGTAAGACAAAGTCCAATTCCATTACGGTTAATTTAATAACATCATCTCATGGATGATATCACCATTTGACATGTAGCTTCCTTGACTATCATATGATCTAGTCCTAGTCACTTGACCCAATTTTCAATTGATTATCTCTTAACAAATGTCTTTTCAAGATTTCACAATTTATTAAACGATTTATCACTTACCACCATCCATCCATGGCTTGGTCATTGTTGCCGAAAAAGACATACTCTAATCACAATGCCGTCCTAAAATGAAGAAGAAGGATCACCATCACTTAAATGATACATTGAAATGGATTTCATTCTCTCTTACTCATGTTGAGATGATATTTTAAATATTATCTATAGCTAAAGGGAAGAATAAAGTATTGCCATTTCATAAAAGTAGAAAATTGCATCACTCGGTGATGCAATTCTTGTCTACTCGAATTCAAAATGAATCTAGTGATTGATCGACTATCAAAATAGAACACGGTTGATGAAGATAAATTAGCTCTTCAAAATGGCTTATATTCCATCAGATCTTGCTTACAATATACTACAATTTCCCCCCCTCCCGTCCATGCAAAAACTACCAAACTGCTTAATGTACTTACTTTTTGGTGAGATCAACCGATCTATTGATTAACCGTTATTAGTGTTGTGATGACTAGCTACCGACGCCGAAATAGCTTCAAACTTGCACGGTTTCACCTAGCGATGGTGTTAATTTAATAGCATCAGCTACCAATTTCAAAGGTATTCATCAGGCCTCAATAGAGTCGAGTCTACGTATGCAGTATTGCGTTGTTAAGAATCAGTATGCAATAGTGATCAATGTGCGAGTACAGTGCGATCGTTCCTGTCGTTGCCGTAGTGACTGCAGAGGAGAAAGTATTTTTGCCTCAACGAATGTCGATGGTCGTTTTCTGCGAACGGCGTCGTTTCGTGTTTGTACTAGTGCTGAATTGGCTGTCCCCATATACTGTAACAGTACTAGACGTAGGACATTGGATATCACTGTATCAGTTTAGTCGGTGACGTCCAGTACGACATGCGTCCGAAGACAGGGCCGCCCTACAACTCTACCCTCCATTTAGCCCCTTCAGTCGTCATCTCGTCCGTCCATCCGTAGTGACTCCTCACTCTGCAACAACACCCACCCACCCGTCTACTGGACACGGACTGTACTGTATGCATGGTGGATGGAAGGACAGTACGGCAGGACCCATCACTCCACTTCCGACTACTAGCAAAATTGCATGCTGTAAAACCCCTGTAAGTAGTGTGCTCAACTAGGGACTACCCTAACTGGAGCGACCGCATGCCTTTGAGTGTAACGTACTTTTCAATCGAGCAAAAAACAACAGAAAAATGGCCATCGAAGCCATTAGTCCCACTGAGTCATTTAAACGACTTGAGCAGTCGTTTAAAGGATAACGCTTTTCCTCATAGCTTAGGCAAATAAAGTATAACATGATATCCATGAATAGATCGCAGCTAACCAACGCAATAGTTGAAGTTGATCGAAAGCAATGACGAGAATCATTTGCAAACAAGTCGATGGATGCTGTCGGTACTTGCAGGCCTGGTTGTTGACCAAGTCCGACGTGCCACTCCATGTCCTTACTTGTATTGACGTCTTGACAACTTCTCTAATTTCGATTGTATGTCGTTTATCCTAAGATGATCGAGATACCAATTGCCTGCACTAGAATGTGCCGTACTGTACGCTTTTTTTCGTCAGGAAATCATCGTCAACAAAACCAGGATGTAAGTGTTTCCATGATGGAAGTCAACGTATCGAAGGACGTTTCAGTATACTTACTACAGTACAGCCCCATCAGAAAGATCATCCACACAGACTTGACAAGCTCCCGTATTTTGTTATTGCACACGTTATGATTGATTAAAGCAAACAGATTGCACAGTGACTAGCATTGAAAGTTCACTATGCAACATACAATATTACTTGAAGGATAAGATTAGACGACCCAATACCACTGCCATCCCAAAATATCGATCAATGATTTTTATCTTTCATAGCAAAATATTTACCGAAAACGTCCACTAGAACGACTAGCAACGAAAGGCCATCAACGCATACTATACGAGTGAATATCTCTCTCCAGTCACAGTTTAAATTCACTTTCTGTCTGTACTTCAATCAAAATACCAGCGTACGTGCTTCCATAACAATTCATGAACAAGGACTAACTTGATAGCCCCCCCATGCAATAAAGAATTCATATTTCTGCAAAACTATGCAGCGGTAGCATCACGGTACACTCATTCTATGATGCGTGTAATACTTGTAGTCAAGTTTCAACCCTCGACTGTTTTTAGTCCAACTAGACCTCAGTAAAACAACATCGAATCATGTTACTGTACTTGTATAAAGTGTTAACTTCACCATCACGTCGTTCAATGCCGCATGCCTATAGCCTATTGTCATAAGTGAATCATATCATTTCTACTCCTTGCTGAATAGTATTGATTCCAAAGTGAGCTAACGTTAGAAAAATCAGCAATGACTACTGTTCTTATTACAAAGTACCGGTAAAGTTAAAGGTGAATGAACGACTATTCCAAGCATGATCCTACAGTCGGTGTTTCACTTTAGTGGTAGTACTAGATAATTCCATTTCAAGATTGAACAATGCTAGGCAAAATCTGTCGAAGTGGCAGTCTATTTTCAATCGGTTTTCATTATTAGATAGATTGATATTTAGCGTCGGTAGAGCTAGCAAATACGGTAGTGGATTTGGACAGTTGATTCGGTATAATAACACAAAAAAACTTGAATTCAAGCTCAAACTCATACAACTCATTGATAAATTGGCGACGATAGTACTGTACGCTGTACAGGTCACTGGCTAAAGAGGCAGCAAAAATAAAAGTTGGTTACCAATTGAATATGCTGTGATCGTGGAAACTGCAAATGCCAGAGAGATTGATCTCTATGGCAATTGCTAATATCTGTCAATTAGAGTCTGTCAGGGTCTTTTTACTATAAACTAATCCACTTGTGTATTTGTGTTACATCATCTATAAAGCAAATGATTATCCGTTAAGATAAGTATGTCGTAACTCTGCTTTCATTCAAAGAACGCCATAATATTTCTTCATTGATTGATCGGCGTTGTACAT